TATTCATCACATATTGAGTGGGACAAAGTCAGATTGTCAAATACCTGCATGATAAGATCCCATTTGTATAAAATATCTTTGTGCTTAGAGAGCTTTTTTTTGGAATGATGTCTAACATGTTACTAGGGGCTATATACTAGTGGTGTAATTTAAGGTGATTTTATTAATTTTGTTCTACATATTTTTGTATTTAATTTAGTTAAAAATCAACCTCTGTAATTTTTTGAGAAAATTATAAAACTCTCTTAAAAGACTATGCATTTTAGAAGTCACATTTTTGTACTTAATCAAAGCTTGAATTTTAGTTAAATACCCTTCCCCTATCATTATTTTTTTAAACCTCAAAGCCATCTACTAAAGGCATAAAGAAATTCCTTATTCTGGTGATTATATAGACTTGGTGTAGAACACTGTCTTGGGCTCTTCCTTCAGAGACTTTTATTATATACCTTATTCTTTACAGAGTGCTTTTGCTATGGAGGTATGCCAGGTATTAGGACTTCAGGGTTGTGGTAAAGTTCATGGGTGGGAGTAGGGCAAAAAGGTTCTCCATCTGTTCTCGTCTTTGGGATAATTGTCGGGGTCTGCATATTCTCTCTTCTACCCTTTTATCCCCTTTTGCAGGAGAATAACATTAACAACTAATTTTTCTTTGAGCTCATTATGAGTTAGGAACTGTTGTTCTCGATAGATTTCATGTATTTCACTTATTTAATCCTCACAACCATTCTGTGAAGTTGATACTACAATTACATTATTTTACAGCTGAGGAACCTGAGGCACAGAGAGATTAGGTAAACTATCCAAGGTCACTCAGCCAGGGAATGCAGCCCAACAAGCTGGCACTGGAGCCCAAAGGGTCTGGTTCCAAAGCTCCTGGGATCTTAATTGCTATACTCCACTGCCTTTCTCACTTTCTTCCTAAATATGACTCCAAATACTTCTTGCTGGTTTACTTTGTTCTCTCCCAAACTGTCATTTCTACCAGAAATACCATGGAGGCTGAGCTAGTTTACACTTGTCCAGACTTTCCTGCCGCAAATGCTTCTCTGGGGTCAATATCTTTGCTGTTCATCTATTTACCCACTGATTCCATTAGGATTTTACTTACCATTTCTTTGACATCCTCTTCTCTGAAATGCTCGGATTTCTCGCTCTTTGAAGCTGGAGATGCGTCTAGGAGGAAAAAAAATTAAGTTTCATTAGGTATTTCAACTTTGCCTCCAGACCCATTAGAAGAGAGTTTAGTGCGAAGGCAGTGAACATTCATTGCTCTTTCCCAGGACGGTGGGGCCTTCTCAACCTCAGGCAGAGCAGGATGCGAGTGCCCTGCCTGACCTTTGAGTCTGACGCCTTAGCGAAAACTCAGTTTTGTCTAAGGCTGTGGTTTATTCCAATCATAGGAGTGATACATATTCATTGTAAAAATCTTTGGAAAATACAAAAAGTGTAAAGAAAAAAATCAAAAGCACTTACAACCTACCACCTTGTGATAACCGCTAGAGACTATCATTTCCAAACATGTTTGTCTTTTTTTTTTTTTTTAAGGCATTCCTATTCATTCATGAAGACTGAGTCTTCAAAAGAAATGATTTACAAGTGATGATTTTAGAAAATGCCCATCCATGGAGTTTACTGGGGAGGATTATGGTTAAATTTAAAGATGTGCCAAAGTTGGTGAAATTTAAATTTCTTAATTTTAATCTCCAGTTTGATATTTCTAATCGAAAAAAGAAAATAATTGTGCGTATTTGAAAACATTAGGATGGAATCAAAGAGAAAGGTATAATGACCTCAGTGGTTTTCTTTGCTCCTTGCAAGTGTTTTTCCGTTTATTTTTGCCTCACATGGGCTGCATATACATTAGGTCTTCAACTGATGCTTATGAATTGGCTGAAAAGAAGGTTCATGTGTACAAGATCAGCTACCTGAAATACCATTAAAAATGAACTTTTAGTATTTGTAATTTTGGTTGTTATGTTTTTGCTGTCTTGTAACAGAAATTTAGTAAAATTTATTTGGGATATTTTACTGTTTTCCTGGGAAAAGAGCTATCATCAACAACAAAAGAAACTCATTTGATATGACATATTACAAGTAATAATTATGTTAAGTTTGATTCAAGTTGAAACAGCTTGTACTGAACATTATTTTTAAAAGCCATTTCTTAAGAGAATGACTATAGAGAATGATTATAGAACAGACTCCTATAATCAAAAAGTGTATCCTCTTGTGTTTTCCAGGCATCTGGCCATCTGAAGAGGTTTTGGCTTACTACTGCCTCAAGCACAGGAATGTATTCAGGTACAAAGCTGCACTTAAAAAGATATTTTTTTAGCCATTATGGGTATTGTATCTGCATATTAAAGATTGCTGTGATTACATTCTTCAAATTAAGTTGTTTAAAAAAATATAAGAAAGAAAAGCAAGAAAGAAAGAAAGAAAAGGAAGGGAGGGAGAGAGGGAGGAAGGAAGGAAGGAAGAAAAGAAGGAAAAAAGTTCATGGTGAAAACATGTTGCTTCTGAAAAGAAATCTGAATTGCCTTTGGGTACTAATACTGCCCAGCAAGCTCTTTGCTATATGTCAAAGGCTTTTGATTTCCACTCAAGGCATTTTATTTCACTTTGATTTTGGGGAAACAAAAGTGAAGCTCCAATCAATCCTTACTGATTGTGAAGGTCAAAAAAAAAAAGAAAAAAAGAAAAAAAAAAAAAAACCACAATAAAGATATTCTTTAAACTTCTGCTAGGGAAATCACTACAGAATATTTGATAAATAAATACCCCACAGCTATTATTTAAAGATGCCATCCCACCCCTGGTTTTAAAGGTATTTTGTAGACCTAACAATATGTACTTGTAAAATATAAATCACTATTACAGATTCATGCTACGGAAATAAAGGTTTTCAACTGTCAGTGTGCAATTATGGATCAAACCCATGGATGGGATTTAGGAAAAAGAAAAAAAAAAACCCTCCTTTTATTTAAAAATTCTAAAGATGTTTGGTAGGTCCAGAAAATACAGGTTTTTCATTTTTCATTCTCATTTTATAAAAGTCACCCAACATATGCTTCCCAAATAGCCCATTATGATTCCAGACAAGTCATTAGTGATCATGGTGTGTGTTTTAACAATATGTACTTACAAGATTGGGTCAATAATATGTATTTTTTGAAGCTCTGTGGGTCCATATTTACCAACCAGTCTATAATTGCTTTGAACAATTAAATACTCATTAAGTGTATTTCAGAATATGAATGTTCTTTCTTGGCTTCTCCGCCTCTTCCCTCTCTTTGCACCCCTCCTTCCCTTTCAATTCTCTCCTTCTCTTTTTTTTTTTCCTCCTGTTGAGGTGATAAACTTCCCAACCTGGGAAGAAGAAACACTCTTAAGGGTTTGAGCATATAAAATGAGCACAAGGCAGTATTGAATTTGGGCTGCAGAGCTGCTCTGGGAGCCTGGCATTTGCTCTTCTCGCTGTGCTTAAGCTTGACTGGAGCTCCAATCATCGAGCAGTGGGCCAGGGTAAGAATGTCACACGTTGAGGGCTGATATTTAGGCACAAAGGGGAAGGTGAGTGCAGAGTGCCACACTAGGCTGTCAGCTTTAACTCTGAGCCGCTTTACTTTTGAGTGGTGAAGTCAGAGCCCAGTCATTACTTTAGCCTGGGTTTGCTGGCTTAACCATATTATGTCCCTGCATTGTTTATTCACTGTGTTGTGTTGGGGTCATTTGTGATTTAAGTGTTAATTGCTAAATGCTCTTTGTGTAATTGTTCTTTATGGGGGCAGTTCAGCTTTCCAAAATGTTTCAGTTTGGTTTCAATTTTTTTTTTCAAAAAATTCAAGATTGCCTTTATTTGTGTGTGTGTGTGTTGTGTGTATGTGACTATAATATAGGTATATACACACTCATATATGTTCTTCATTTGCTTGTCTAACTGTTTTTGAAGGAATGAATGTGGATTAACAGTGTTACCCTTTCCTAACAATTATCTTTCGCTACTCTAGCTAGTTTAGTTCTAAAAGACAGCGCCATTGACAAGGGAAAAAAAGGGAACCTTCTCAGATTTTTCAGCTCAGCGGTGGTAATGTTGCAGTGAACACTAATGAGGGAACCCCCACTGATTTGCCTGCTTTGTGACTTTTCTATTTCATAATTATTTTTAAAACGCAAAGCAACATGAGGTAGCCTAGTCCTGTCTCTACAACTTCCTGGTAGCGCCGTTCTTACTGCAGATGGCAATTTGTTCTTGTAACATATATATCTCTCTGACCATTTTCATCTAATTTGTATGGGTTCTACCATTTCTTTTCTCTCTTTCAGAGACCTTGCTGTGTGTGAGCTAGGGGGTGGCATGACATGCTTGGCTGGGCTCATGGTAGGTCTTTTCTCAATTCCAATCCCATTCAGAGGGAGGAACAAAAGGAAAAATGTTCCAGGGCCTCCAACTGCTGGGTCAGAGAACCGTCAACAGCATCAGCTGCGGTCAAGCTGCCGGGTCTTGAGAGACCTTCTAGATTGACTTACTTTCGGATCATATTGATTTTATGGTTGCCTCGATGAGCAGAAACATTTTACCTCCGTGTAGTCAATATCGCTTGTTGTGACATTCCAGGCCTCGCGCGGTCTTTCTTTGCCATAGCGAAAGCATTTTTTTTTTTTTTCAGATTATAGTCCCATTTGCTAAGATACAGGAATAGCCCGGCGAATCACAGTTGGAGCACCATGATATAGCTGCTAATGTTTTGCCTGCATTATTACACCAACAAACATGATCCAGAGCGCTCAGTAATTAGATTCTTTTGAATTAGATTGGCCATTCAGGAACGTCGTTCCCCATTCTCTGGGTTCTGAGTCATGTATTCAGGAGATATTATGTAGCAGCACAGTGCATTAGACAAGTTTTTATGTCTCTGCAAATAAAAGCATATTGTTACACTGATTGGCATTTGACAAACCTGTCGCTCTTACACAATGTGTCGAGGTTACAGCCCAATGTGCGAGCATGTCAAAGCTCACAAAAAAATTACCCTCACAAAGCCATCTGCCTGCAATGCAAAGTTATATGAAGGGCATCAGGCAGTCAGACAGAAGCAAGCTGAAAGGCAGAGTGACAGCCTTGTATGATGGCTCTACTAGATAAACAGAAGCCCACAAATGAAAGCCTCTCAGAATACCATCATCCGCTGTCACAATGCAATTACCGAACAGAATGATAGCAAGATAGAGGCTCCCGCAAATGGAATGATAAAAGTATTGACTGATTTGATTGAATGATTAAAATAATGCAGACATAAAATGAAAAAAGATTGAAGATTGTTACAGAGAAATAGGTGAGGAAGCATGATACTGAAGGCTTGTCACTCCTGTCTTCACTTCCACACAGACAAGCATATTTGCTCATTGTTTGCTGTGCTCCTTTTTTTTTTTCAGGTTGCTATTTCTGCAGATGTCAAAGAAGTTCTGTTAACTGATGGGAATGAAAAGGCCATCAGAAGTATCCTTATTCAGATAGAAAACGGGTTTGTTGTGCTCATTCCTTTTTCCCGGCTAAGTAACAATTGATATAAAGAAAGACAGCATGGGGTATTAAAAAAGAATCCCCCCCACACACATGATAAGTAATTAAGAAAAAGTAGAAATATATGGAATTCATTGGCGATGACTGTTTTTCTTTTATTTCGATAGATTTTTTTTACAGTCACTTCTTGTGAAAGGAGCCCATGATTTGTGGACCACTCGAGGCAATAAGAACATTTGTTTCAGAATAATTTTCAGGCATTCTTGTCCTTTTATTGTCACTGAAATTTCCTGGTATAAACTAAATGATTGAATATTTATTATATCCACTATTGCTTATAAAAACTAACTTCCAGCTTCATGTTCATTATGACCTTCCTTGGGTTTGATCTTCTGAGTATGTGCTAGGTAGGATGGGACCTTTTCTAATTGCCGAGAGGTTACCTATAGCTCCCCATTGGAAACAGCTATCAGTTTTTCATTATTTCCTTTTATTTAGGATTATAAAAGCACTCTCTTTTTTTTTCCTGCTATGCTATTACAGTTCCAAGCCCATTATATTAGATTATGCTTTACTAATATGTACACAGAGTTCATGAAAATTGAACTGTACTTTAACTAAGAAAGCAAGCATAATTTGTGGCTACTTTAGCAATCGAGCTGATTTGTTCAGGCGCAGTTAACAACCATTAGAAATTGAGAAGAGAAGTGGAAGATATATTTGCTTTGGATTTTTGGTATGCCTTACATTTACATTATGAAGTAGGCAATCCACTTATTTGCATCTTAGCCCCCTAAAATGCCAAAGCAGTTTCGATTTTTGCAGCTTCTTACAGAAAGCCCATTTTCGATTTTCTTTTTCTACCCTTGCTGTATGATCTTTTAAAAATAAAATTTGCAGCAGCTCTATCAGGCTGCTCAAATAGGAGAAAGGAGGTACAAGAAGCACAGTAGCTAATATTGTTCAGCAGCGCTTGTGTGCTCTACAGAGCCCCACCCAACTAATTGCCTGACAGACTTTAAAAAAAAAAAAAATTCAGGAAGGAAAAACAGCCAATCACAATCCTGGCCTTTCACACAAGGGAAAGAGATCACAAAAGGTGCTTCCTTTTTTAAGATGCAGGATTTTAATCATGATCTTCAGACTGTTGCAAGTTTCTCAAAATATTCCCGAAGATGAGCCGATGTTGTTTCATTCACTCTGCTTTATTCTGAGTTATGCCTTGCACTGTATCATTTCACTGTGTTCCTCCTCCGCATGTCAGGGAGCATAGAGAGTGAGAGGAAGGCAGGTATGCTGGCTCAGCCCCAGTGGATGGTTTTTTTTGGGGGGGGGCAAAGGAAGGAAGGAATGAGGATTATTGGACAGGAGAGGGTCATTTTAGCCACAGAAACTTTCAGATTGGGCCCGCAACCTGAGGTTTTTCTCAAATCAGCAGGTGCCCCATTTAATAGCGGCAGAAACAAATTACAACTTTTATCAAACTATAGGAACATCGGTAGTCAGTATGTAAATTTAATTGTACTAAAATTATTATTGAGCTAAAGTACAGCGCTTCCAGAGAAGGGAAGCAATGCTAATGTCATTAATTAGCACACCTTTGCTTTAAACAGCAAAGATGCCATGCCAGCTCTTGAAATCAGAGAGGAAATCTCAGATTCTGTATTCACTCTGCTGGCCTTTCAAAGAAATGATTGGTACAGCCCCCTCCCAAGAAAATGGATTTTTAACATTTGGTCCTCAGAAGCTCAGCCCTGAGAGTGCTTTATTGTGCTGGGTTTTACAATGGGTTTAATATAGCGGGGTGCCAAAGGGCAGGAGGGGAAGAACTTTACAATGTAGATAAAGTAGGTCCTTTCAGGATGCAGACCAAAACCGGCAGTGTGTTTTATTTCATCTCTTAGGACTTTCCTGATGGAGTTCAGTTTTTATCATGTAGTTGTTCCGTGTTTGTGGGCTTTTTTCTTTTGTAACTAGATCTAATTTTTTTTAATTAAGAGAAAAAAAAAGCATGCCTAAGGCCTTAAAAATTGGCAATGTGTTTTTCCTGCTTTTAATACTATGTTATTCTTGATTTGCTAACAGAGCTTATAATTGGCATTCGTTGTAAAGCTGTTGTGCTGAGTGAGGTTAATATGAATGAAATTTTTTTTTCTATTTGTGTGCCCACTTTCTGTAGGAATAACTAATTCACTGACTCACATACTGTTGATGCATATAGATTGAAACAAATTCATTTAAAAATTACTGTTTACATCTTTCCTTTAAAATTTTAGGAAGCCTAAATTATATAGCAGTTGTAGGATATTATCCAAAAATTACTTTCTAAAAAGTAAAAGTAGATGTCAACAAAAAAAAGGAGAAACATTGCCAGAAACCAGAAAATCTCTAAGCAAAGCTGCTAATTATTCTTAATGGGCAAGATGAGCACATTAAGAAACAAATGAATACATCAGTGAAATGTGATTGAAAATCGACCTGGCAATCCCACATCACATCTGAGTATTGGCCTGTATATTATTTTCATTATTTTAAAAATTATTTTTGTTTTGTTTTTCTTCACATCCAAATTTAATGAATCCAACTGAATCTTAACTTCCTAGTCGCTTAAGCTTCTAAGGTTCTGATTTTTACCTTTTTTAAAAAAAATAGTATTTTTTGATGCTTCCTTTTTATCTTCAATTATTTCTATTTTTTAAATATGTAAGGTAATGAATGGATGAGTTCTGAATGTTTATATCATAAAAGCCTATCAACCAGTTGTGAGATTATTTATAATCTTCCCTAAGATGTATCAGATGGATTGGCTATGTCTTCCAGAGCTCTCTCCCTTGACCCTGGAAAGCTAGATGTTGATTTGAGATCTATTAAACCGAGATATCTGAAAAGAGATTAAGACTTGAGGTGTAAGTGAATGATGTAAGTCCTAAATATTTTCTCAGGCTCGTGGGTACATGTCCCTGAGGTTCTCCTTGGTCCTTAAACTGCATTGCTGGATCTAACCCAGGGGCCCCCCTTACCCAAGAGCTGCCCCTCTTTACAGATGCCATTTTATCTGTACCCAAAGAGAACAAAGGATAAATTAGAAATGGCATCATTTGGTTCATCCAGTTCTCAACTTCACCTAAGGTAGTTTGAAACATGTTCCCTTTTCTTTGGCACAGTCCTTTTGGTGTAATAAAGGAAGAAATCTCCAAGTGCCTACAGATAATAATAACTCACTAAAGTTCATAGCTGCTGATGACAATGACATAAGAACAGAGGGGAGAAACAGTGTACTGAGTTATTATTGATGCTGAGCCTCTTCCAAATCATGATGAATAAAAGTACAACACCTAGAGGTGAGCAGCCCTCTCTGGTACACTCACAAAGCACCCTGCCTTGACCCATCGTTAGGAAGCATCAAGCATGTTATCTGCAGACTGTGGCAGTGCTTGGTGACCCATTTCTCGTGCTCCCGATCCAAGCATCTTATTCCCATGGCATGCACAGTCTGGATCATGATCTCGAGCTTAGGATTCATCCCAACTTGGTGAATCTCCTGTGCATTTTTAAGGAGATAGCCCTGGCTTACCATTACCTTATTTATTAACAGCATCTCTGACTTGAGTAACTAATACATTAAGCTCCCTCCAGATTGTACAGCCTGTGCTGTTGATGGTGGAGACCTTGGCAAAGCTTGGCCATCATCCTGTGCACTTCTATTTGCTGATGGAGTCATTAATGGACTCCATGTGCCTCACACTGGGTAGGAGCCCAATAAATAGATTTGAAAATTCAATTTAAATTAAGTAATAAATTAATCTAACTAATTAATTAAAATTAATCCAACCACCATTAATTGCATGCCATTTCAGGCGCTAAAGACACAGCAGTGGACAAGACAAACCAAGTCCCTGTTCTTGTGGGACACAGACTAGCCTTGGCCAGAGCACATTTATACATGTGAAAGACACTGAAAATCCACAGGGCAAAAGTTCTTTGATTCCTTCCAGTTATTTAAATTCTACAATATAAATGTCCACATAATTAGTTCTGAGCAGCAGGGAGAGAAAATAAAGCTTGACTGCCAAACCTCATTTTAGTTACTCACCAGCCTCTTCATCCCTCTGAAGCTTTTGCCCAAATTATTGAAAAAGATAATGAATTGGCATGAATTAGGCACCTATATGGTCAGGCTCATCCTATGTGGTACTCCATTAAGCCTATAAAATAGGGATCATTATTCCTGTTTTTGAGATGGAGCTCAGAGAGGCTAATTTACCCAACTTCACACAGCTACTAAGTAGCAGAATCAGCTTAGAAGCCAGCCAGGTTCATTTGACTTCAAAGCTTTTTTATTTCCCCCCATTAAACCATTCTGTTTCACCAAAACCTAGACTGGTTTGGTGAGTGTCGTCTTAGTTTCCTCAGGACCCTCAGGAAGAAAAGGCCTCTCATCCAAAAACATAACAGTTGACATTGCTAACAGAGTTCATCCTCTCAATTCCTTTGATAACAAGCACCTTTAAGAATATTTTGCAGCCTTTAAATTGGCAAATATTGCCACATCCAGCATTTTTAAAATCCTTTAGAGATCAAAATGAACAGGATTTATATTATAATTTCATGGTTTCCTACGCTCAGCTTGGATGGTCTAGTGAAAATAAAGGTAACATACACTGAAAAAGTAATGCTTTGTGGATCACAATGTTATTATTTTAAAAATAACTTTCTTGCTTAAAGAATGATGCCGAGTCCCGAAATGTAGATGCGACTACTGATAAATATAACAATCACTAATTGCTGGAGGAGGCTAATATTTTAAATAGTATTTTATATGTAATTAATTATATTTAGATACATAAAGTTAAAGTTACTTGTTTAAGTAACTTGTTATTGTACAAAAAATATATATTTTAAGAATAAAACTCAACTGAACTAAAATTAAAAGGGAGCCCCACTCCTGAACTATGCTTTTTTGGTGGAAGAAAACCTAGATGTAGAAACGTGGTTTCTTCTAGCCACAAGCATTGATCCTGTATCCCAGACAAGGAGACTGGAGGTGATTGTTCAGAATCCAGTTAATCAGAAATCACATTAAAGCTTTCTTTGCACCCAGCACCTCCCACTGAAGACTTCTAGAAGATGGGTACAGGACAGGGAACAGGATTTGGTCCACCCTGTTGAACACTATCCTGGGTGTATTGATTTGATTGGATGTCCTTTATCACTCTAACACAGAAAAATGACAAAATGTATTATTAGACACAGTGCCAGCCAGACCTAAAGTGAAGGATGGGGGAGCAGAATATCAGAATATATCTCTTAAGCTATTTTAATATGCTCTTGCCATTTCTTTTTTCTCTTTGTGCTTGTTTTAATATAAAACACCTCCTAAACCATAAAATATATTTCCTTCCCAGCTCTAAAAATAAAGCAGCCTAAATACTGCTGTGAATTTTTTCATTAAAAAAAAAAAAAGCACCTCTAGAATATAAATATGTACACTTGCTTCAACCTGACCACCTGGAGTCATGGGTTTATAAATTGTATAAAAGCATATAGCGTTAAGATGTTTACTAAAAATTAGTAATAGGTTTTCAGAGTTATATAATTTAACTTCCCTGTGACTATTTTATAAAAAGTATTACCTCCACTAACAAAATAATATGTTTTGCTTGATAGATTAGTCATGTACTCACACGACGCTACAGGTGTACCGGGCATATTGCCGCGTGCGGTTGGATGTCATAGAAACGTGGAGTAGGGTGTGGCCGGAGGGGGGGAGCTCAACCGAAAAGCAGTTGTCAATTGACTCTTCACTAATTTTGTTCTTCTCAGAATAAAGATGTCAGCTGTCCTTTTCTGCAAGACATTTCATTTAGAAGACTTTCCTGAAATACTTTCTTCCTGAAATAGACAGAACTGTAGGCCGATGTGTCATTTTAGTTAATCAAAACAAGTAGGCAAATTAGTCTCTTTTATTTTTTTAATGAATGTAATTTAACGGTATTTAATTTGCATACAGGAAAGTTCACACAGAAAAAAAAAAAGTCTGCATTATAGCACTTTTGTAAACCTCCACAAAGCCCTTCATTAGGAGACCTAATTGATTTTTCCTACCCACTCCTGGGGGGGGAGAAAGCTATCACAGTACCTGCTTATTCACTCAGAGAAGAAATGGGTGTGCCTGATGTTTCAAGCAGAGATTTGGGTTAAAAAGTCCTGTGGCTCTGTTCTTGCAGGGAGATCTTGGCCAATGCTTGTTCCGACCATTCAGGAAATCTGTTTTTCTGAGCAATAGGGGAACATCGCTCATCTGCTTGGTGTCCTCCCCATGGGCCCAATTTATTTCAGCTTGCAGCCTTCACTGGAATTATTTTATTTCTTGTTTATTTAAAACTGCTTTATTCTGGAAGAGGAACTTTGCGGCTTTTTACAGTGACACATAGGATATGCCATATAAAATAAATGAGAAAGTGAGGCCAATCTGAATCAGAAAGCCAGGACAATACGATGAAGCCAGGATGAGAGGTCAGTACAGAAAGTATATGCCAGGAGAGCTCTGGTGGTTGATAGAGTTAGGTCATCCATTTGGCTCTGGGTTGCAAAGCGACCAGAGCAAGAAGAGAAACAAAAACAGTTGTAAGATTTAGTGTCCAGAAGTTGAAGCAAAAGGGGTTGATCTCAAGCCTAGCTTTGCCCAGTGTTGGAACTTGATATGATTTTTCCCACGGACCTGCATCAAGATGGCGTTGTGTGATGTAATGGACCAGCTCTTCAAAACATCTCCTCCAGAAGTATGGCTTTTCTTGGTACAGGTCCTTTCCCACTGACTGGAGGCTTGCCTTTGGGCTTGTAGCCCTTCTAAGCAAGTAGGGCATGGTACCTATGCGGTAGTCATCTACATCCACCAGCGCCCATAACCCTGGGCCTTGCCAGCATGCATGCAGGTGACAAAACTGCAGCCCAGGGAATTAAAAGAACTTGTCTGTGGCAAGTAATTCAACATTTGGTGGTAAAGCCAGGTCTAGACCCTTCTTCTCCTGCCTCACACCCTACAACTCTTCTCTTTTCACTGTGCTGATCCCGTGTACAGTAAGAAGATCACTGTGTTTGTGGACCTTTTTTTTTTGGACTCAGTTGACAGTCACTGCAGAAGCTTTCTTAACTGTGTCCTGTAGATGTGAGAGACATCATCACAAGGAATCAGAAGGCTGGTGCATTTAAAACTCGGAAAATATCAAGCTGGTAAGATACCTTCCTGCATTAAAACATTCTGGTTTTCTCTATGGATGATAATTAAAGATAATAATAGCTAACATTTACTGAGCACTTACTGTGGGTCAGGCACTGTTCTTAGTACTTTAAAAATATCTTATTTAATGTTCAGAAGAATCCGTAAGGAGGCAGGCAGGCTTTTTCATTATCTTTGGTCAATGAGGAAAACTGAAGTATATTGAACCCTGGGTTGGGAATGATTTCAGGATTGAGAGTATACAGTCTGAGGCTGAAATAAGCCTTCCTGGGACCTCCTTATGAAGACTATTCCTCTGGTTCTCAACCTGGGGGCTGTCTTGCCCCCCCCCCCCCGGGTTCTCTTTCATTGTCCTGACTCAGTGGGGGAGGATTGCTAGCGGCATGTAGTCGACAGAGGCCAGGGAGGCTGTTCACCCTCCTGCAGCGCACAAGACAGTGCCCACGACAAAGACCTGTCTGGCCCAAAATGTCAGTAGTGCCAACATTGAGAAACCCTGCTCTCTTCGTGGTTTTAAAATAGTCTAGTATCCATTCCCTTTTAGATTCTGTTCATTTTTATTCATAGTTGGAGAAATGCTTACCCTCAACCAAAACAATGGTGTTTCCGGTGATGCTACATTTTCTTTTGCCCTGATGATAGGACCTAGAAGAGCGAGGAATCATTTCTTACTTTCCCCACATGAAATATCTGTGTTTGTGCGTTTTTCATTTATATGTTGAACCCCAGACATTAGAAGAACAATCTAATTTATTAATAAATAAATTTTATTTATTTATTACTGCTAATCTGTCATCCTTTGATATTTTGAGTTTTTTCTGTGTTAAAGATGATTTCCCACCCCAACTACTCAGTTTGGGGATAAAAAAAAAAAAAGATGAATGAACAGCAACAACACTTAAAAAACCTCCAGTGGTCAACTTAGCAGTAATTATTTTTCTCTGATGTCAGCTAGTGTAGGTAGGGAAGTGGCCATATATGTGTTTTAAAATCCTGCAGTAGAATGTCAGCGTAAGCTGGTGGCACAGGGGGCGGGATGCCTTGTGTTTCTCATAACAAACCAGTTCCGTTTCCCAGAAAGCCTCGGGCAGGTCAGGAGAAAAACCATCCTCTACCTGTGTCTTCTTCATTCTTAGGGAGGCCTTTACACCACAGTTAGGACTGCCGTACCCTTCTGGGGAGGACTTCATTTTGGGACGTGATTTTCAACCTGGTCTTTTAGTTATCAATCAAAAGCACATTTTCTATGTTGTCCTCATTTTCATTTATTTAATGCTTCCGGTCATTTGTGACCATTTGAGTGTATTTCAGCATATAGAATCAGGGAATAATAGATTCAGCATCATGCTGTGAAGAGAGATTGTGTTTTTACAAGACATAATGTTGTTTACTGGGTGTTAATAATCACTAATTAATAAACATACCTAGATTTTGAAAATGTTCCATTTTGAGGAATAAAAAATGTCAAGTGTTTTAACTTAGGGAGTGTAACAGTATTTTCTGTCATCTCTTCATAAAATAATTAAGTTACATAAAGAAGCAAAATGTCATTATTCAACACAGGATGTATCGAAAATAGCCTTTGTCTCTGTGTTCTCAGATATGCTCTAACTATATTGTGGACATATAGTCTACATGTCAGTAGTCATTCAGGAACCTCCAAGATGAGGGATTTGGTTTTTTTTTTTCTTTATCTCATATTAATTGTCAGTTTTTTCTCTTTTAACCACTGTAAGCATTTTGTCCAAAGTCTACTAAAGCACTTTGCCAGAAAACCGGGGGATGAGTCAGTCCTTGAAATGCCTTGATCTCATATTAAGAAGCTACTTGACCACTTAACCTTCCAGAAGCTAAGAGGAACTGCCAACCAGTGATGTAATAATCAGCATTTCCCTTCTCTCCACTGCTTTCCCACCCATAACCAGTACAATATGATGAGCACATTAGTTCCATGCAAGAAGAAATAAAAGGAAACTGTTCACAAAAGAGCTAAGATATAGTTCACTCTTCTTTTTCAGTGCCTCAATGCATATGCAGAATTTCTCCTCCAAACTGGAGGTGTGGACTAACGGTAGCGACAGATAACTGAGAGGTATTTACCATAGCTACAAAGCCCACCTGTGAGCCAAATATTTCTGCTATTAAAAAGCACTTCAAAGCTTGACATGAAGTTTGGAAAAGCTGAATGTCTCCTGTGACTTCATTACGATGTAGCAGCAGAAAGGAGTATCATGGTATTGAGAACTCTGGGCTTAGGAAATGGTGGCTTTTAAAAAGGAACAAGAAACCACCGAGGAATGTGAACAGCCCCCAAGCTCCCGTTCCCGAGGCTGTGACAGGGTGCTTGCTCAGAGACAACCTGCACTCCTGCCTCTCAGCCAGGGTGGACCCAGGCTGCATGGGGCCTGAAACTTATGTTGGGGGTCCTCATGAGGAGAATAGATTTGATTATACCTTACTTTGGCAAATTCTTTGGAAGCATTTGACCATGTGAACAACGACTTGGGCTCCTGGTGGGCCTTGGAAGGAATCTGTGCAGGTGAGGGACCTGAACACGTAAGCTTCAGCAGCTACATAGGGAGTCTACCCCTGCTCCCCTCTTCATCACCGCCCTTGCCTGGAAAAACGCTCCTCCTTTAAGAACAAAACTTTCTTACTCCCTGTTCCATTTTAATCCCAATCTATTGTTTTTTTTTTTAAGATTTTTTTTAAAATTTATTTGACAGAGAGAGACACAGCGAGAGAGGGAACACAAGCAGGGGGAGTGGGAGAGAGAGAAGCAGAATTCCCGCTGAGCAGGGAGCCTTGATGCAGGGCTCGATCCCAGGACTCTGGGATCATGACCTGAGCCGAAGGCAGGCGCTTAACGACTGAGCCACCCAGGCACTCCTATCCCAATTTTTGCTTTGTGTGACAGACATGTTTGTGGAGGCCTGGAAGCTTTAGCCCTGACCAAGAAAGATCTAGGACGTACATAGATGAAGCATCATATCCCTTTCGTCTCACAGATCTTAATACAGTCATTTGATGGTTCATTTGTTTGTCCATCCATGCAGCTATCCATTCATTTACCTAACAGGTCCAAGGTATTCTGTCTTGGGGAGCATAAATACAGAGTTATCGAGAGTAGCTCGTGAACAAAGGAGATCGTGCTGCTAAATATAGCTAGAGAGTGGTTGAAAGAGCAAGGATATTTACGGCTTCTCAATAGTGAGGTTTATCTGAAGCTGTCTTCAAACCTGCGACTGTCTGATAAAGAAGGATTTGGAGCTTTTGACGTCTATATGTTTCTAGGTGTTCCAGAATTAGTGAATGGCATCATTCTCTGGTTAATATTAGTTAACAGTTACAATATTTTTAAAAAAACCTATCAAATATACCCTGCTGTGATATTAAAAGTCAGTTTCTGCCTAAGAAAAGAGTTTATCTTTGTGTGAAAATTGCTAGTGAATTTAGGCCCGGGACTTTTATTATTCTGTGGTAAACCATTAATTTTAGTAAACTATGGAACTTATTATAATATTGAAGACTTCTTTATAACCCAAATTTCACCTTTATGTGGGCCCCCAGGACTGGCTATTGGCCCCATTGCCCTACTGCTTTTTAAGATTTATATCTTTTCGGAGGCTCATTTTCTTCTAAAGGTAAAACCAGGTGTATGAAAAATGATTTTAAAGGCGTAAATCTCAAAGAAGTGGAATCCTGCTGCTGATTTTTCTAGACCTTCTGCAGCCTACCCTCACTTCCTTCACTCTCCCCATTCAATCTAGCTCCTTCTGCTCCCCCCCCCCCCCCCCCCCCCCCACACCTTCCCCCATGGCCTTCTCCCATGGCCACCGGAGCCTCTGCACTTTGTGGGCACATCTAGTCTTCCCTGTCTCTGGCCTTAGCCAGGCCTGTTTCCCTTCTCCTTGTGCTCCTAAGTCCTTCCTTGTCGAATGGCCTAATTAACCTTTCTCCTGCCTTCTCTGGCCCTGATCTTGTCATCCTTCTAGTTTCTGTTGGCCTTAGACTGGTCCCACAGTCAAATATGCCATATTCTCTTATTGCTCAAAGCATACTGTCTTTGTTTTTGTGGCCATTGGTTCATTCACTTCTTGACAAATATTTCAATCACTTTCTGTACAGCAAGTACTGTTCTAGGTGCTGGTGGTGTCGTGATGAACAAGACTGAGAAAGTCCGTGCCTTCTTGGACTTCACGCTCTAGCGGGGGAGACCGAGAATTTTCTTGAAGGCAAGGATTCTGCTTAATATATTTTTGTATTCCCTGAAGCAATTAGTACACTTTATCCCTCTTATAGGAGAGGTTTTAAGATTTGTAGTTGGAGCACCTTGAATCCATAAGGCTTATGGAACCAAATAATTTTTAGCACGAGTGAGTCAGGCTTTAGAGACTAAGACATCAGTTTATACATCAGATAGCTGACTTTCATTTCAGGCTAGGCTTCTTCTCAGGCATGCACATGCCGTGTCTGTAGACAAACTGACATTGTAAGTAGGTGTTTATCTCTCCTTTGTCAGGTTGAAGAGGAAGGTTAGAAGAAGGTAACCAAGATAAGGAGGCTGAGGGCTCTCTTTGAGAAATTTCCTGAGAAACTATACCTGTTAGTGGGTTTTGCTACAATTACGGTAACAGAATCTTGAGAACTGCTGAGAATTCTAGAGATGCCACAGTCCCTTTTCCTTCCATTGCTATTCTGAATATGGGGAAATGAAATTACCATGTGTGCTTTCTATTGCAAACATTTTTTATTTGCCTGACAAATTTAAAGATGGGCCCATGTCCCCTACGATTTAGGGATAACATCCCAGAGGCATGTTATCCAGTTTCTGATATTTTGTTGGAGTTCTCCTTCTTGTATTAAAGTGAGCCAGATTTTAACATTTGGGGACATTGTATTTTTTTAGGCATCCTCTTAAACTGCAGCAAATTAAAAGTTAAGGCCTTTTATTCTAGAATAACATTGTATTAACTCTTTGGACATGCACTTC